GTGTTTATGCCAGTTGTTTCTTTACAAGGGGAAGTCGTAAATGTATTGTTTGTATCTATCAATGCATAAAAAAACGGGATTTTTGCTACCAAGAAATTAATCCGTGGAATTGAAAGAATTAGAATTAAAATAAATATACATAAGACACCTAAATTATTTAATCAACCATGCTTGAATGACAATATTCTGCCTATATATATATATATATATATATATATATATATATATATAATTGTGTAATTGGGTAGCAATCACTCTTTTATACAGGTTTAATTAAAGATGACCGAAAACAGCTATTTTCTTTTCTGCACCTAAAGTGTATAAAAACTGTTCTAATATTCTATATATCCGAGCGATTTAAGTTATTCGATTGGCCATTATCAATGATTTTTTTTAATAGAACATTTGGACAGTTTTTAATTTTTACACACTTTATGTCCATAAAATGAAATACTCATAAATATATATGACATTGGAAAGAATCTTGGCTTTTATGACTTTTCCATAACATTTCAGCTTTTTTCTTCTTAACGCTAATTATGAGATCTTCCTATGGGTGTGGTTCTTGTTTATATATATATATATATATATATATATATATATATATATATATATATAGAGAGAGAGAGAGAGAGAGAGAGAGATAATATTAGTGGTCAATAGACACACACACACACACACATATACATATATATATATATATATATATATATATATATATATATATAAATTACCAAGAGGATAGAATCAAGGTAGAACTCAATGTCATGGAAGATTAGTGTTTGAGCCTTTTTATATATATATATATATATATATATATATATATATATATATATATATATATTCAGAGAGAGAGAGAGAGAGAGAGAGAGAGAGATACCGTCTGAAGTCCTAAACTCCTGGTAGGATCACCCTTGGTGACACGGACGAAGACGAGGACCCAGACTATGCCCGACCAACAAGCGGATGACGATTACAACAGATCTAAACAGTTGAATCAGCGAATGAAGAGGGTTACGCATGAGAGACAGCCTATAGAAAGCGCCAGTGGAAATTATAGCGACAGTCCATTGCAGTTTCATGACTATACTTTGCATGTTTCATGGCATATGGGGGAGAGAAAGAACATAATATCATGTTTGTGGGTCATTTTCTGGCCAATTGAGGTCCACCTTAAACAAATTCACGCCATCGGCACTTTCTTCTAATCTGATTCACCTCCAACCAACCAACTCTTGCAAAACCAAACGGCGATATGGAATGGATGATGGGAGCAGGTTTTGGTGAATCTGAAAGCTTCTGTTCCTGAACCTGCATGTTGGCCGCTAATTTATTCATCAACGCCATTATCTTAAATGAAGTGATCGGCACAAATTAAATTAAATTCTTAGACATGAAATAAAGCCAATGACAACAATATATATATATATATATATATATATATATATATATATATATAATTTTCAGATAGATTAAAAGGTAAGGCTTCAAGAACACCAGAAAGCTGTAACACAAGGGAAAGTGGAAAAATCAGGCGTGGCTGACCATATATGGAGAGAGAAGGGAGATCACCGCCCTCTGTAGGATCAGGTTGAGATCATAGACAAAGAACACAATTGGAAAATTCGTAAACTTAAGGAATCAGCACATATGCTAGGCCACAAAAATATCCTGAGCCGACCAAGCATAGAAATGAATACAATATGGGAACCAGTAATAAGGAGTGCCAAAGAAAAGCGATAAAAAAATTGCAATATGAGCTCTAGTAAAAACATGGATTGATAACAGCAAAAATTGCAATATGAGCACTGGTAAAAATGATTGCTGAAGACATTAGGTTTATAATACCCAGAAATTCATACACAGATGTTCTCAAGTACACATGACACAGTGGATTAAGGCGTTGGTTAGATGCAATGATAGGACCCAAAGTGTGTGAGTTCAATATAGTGGAGAACTTTTAGAGGGAAATTAACGGGAGATAACTGATAACTGACATTCATTAAACATGACACGTGGAACTAGAACAGTCCACCCCAGTGAGAGAAATAAAGAGTTCAGTTCAACATTACAACCACCTGAAGAAGGCCGGAGCGTACAACGGCCGAAACGTTGTAATAGATATGGCGACAAAGATGAGGACAATAGTCCAAACAATATAAATAATGTATTAAAAGGATAATATGAAAAAAAAAAGAGAAACGGAAAACTTATCTTAGCCGATGCGTTTCGTCCTCTGAGGGAGACTGTATCAAAGCAAATGTCAAGATTTCATTTTACGACACGTATTTATATTCAAAAGCAAAATGTTATTTGGTTTTTCAAAATTTTTGGTATAGGGGCACTCATGAATATTTATCAGGTTAGCGGAAAAATTCATAGACATGAGGTGATATAGTTCAATGCCTTATAAACAAAAGTGAGTAGGAGGTATTTTTTATGTATGCATATGTATGTGAATTAGTATTAAAATCATTTTTGTATATATATATACATACATACATAAGTTTTTCTTTTTACTTTATATATATATATATATATATATATATATATATATATATATATATATATATATATATATATATATATATATATATATCACAGATCTTTATGCAAAATGTAATCTTCAGACTTCTAAAAGTCGTTTTGGATAATGTTACTGCCATGACAAATGGTCGTACTCATGATGAGGATGCTTACTTTAAACGTCTCTTAGAACTCACATTCATTCCAGACCTCAACTAGAACTCAAATATACTATCCATCTCTAAAGATGAAAGAAAATTGTCAGTTTCTTGTACCGCTCCAGAAAATATCTGACTCCTGCCATGAACTATCTGTATAATTAGACTAAAAATGGAGTATTGCTGACCTATCTGGGATGGATCTGCCCAGTGTTCACAGCTTAGTCTTGATAAAGTTCAAAGGTGTCTACGCAGCCTTGTAGGCGATGAATTATTTTACACCTTATATCTCCTTTCCCACAGACGAAACATACATGCCCTCTCGACTCTGTCGTTATTTCCATGGTAAATTTTCAGAGGAACTACATTCCACCGATCCAGATTTTGTCTGCTAGGACCAATTCGTACCACGTAGACAAGATCGACTCATTCTCATTCCTTTCATATTCATTTGGTAAATAGAAAGCTCCACTCACGCCAGCTTCTTCCGCAGAACTGTTATGTTGCGAAGCAGACTGCCGATAAGATGCTTCCCCGATCACTATAATCTTAACCACTTCAAGCCTAAGGTCAACAATTACCTTTCTTATATGTCGTAAAAGTCTGCACTTCAGATATAATAAAGGGACGAAATCTATGAAAAGCCGTGATCGGCAACGCCTGAAGAAGAATCTCTATCCTTTCAGTAATACCTATACTACGACTCTATCCAGTAGGTTAACTTGTTATTTGTATCGTCAAAGTGCTGCTGATGCCCATATTAAAGAATAGAGAATATTCAGTACTGATATTTTTACAAATACATAATACGAATAATACATTTCTTAAACTGCATATCGAGGAAAAGAACAGTAATTCTTTGTTTTCTTATTTACTCCACTCAATATAAAATTAAAAGAAATGTCTACCTAAATGTTTGTAAGTAATATATTGCTTAATGCACATAATTAACAAGACTAGTTTCATTTTCATGTGATCTCATATGCATTTCAGCATTAAAGTGTCAGTCAACGCCGATTGGTCTACAGTCTGATATTTGTATTGCCCTGATATACAAAAAACCCGATGCAGCCCTGTATAAATAAATATGAAATCCGAGACAAGAGCGTCTGACATACTGGAGATGGAGTGTCCAGATTCCGGTAAAAGAAAACGAAGAAGTCGACGATACTTTAACTGGGTGAGGCATAACGGGAAAATAATTAAATAAATTAAAGATCCCTGTTCGATAAAAGTGTCAAACAAAAAATCCCCAAAAGTAACTGCATCAAAATTCTGAATAGTCGGTAAAATTAGAAAAGCCGGGTGCGCCCTGGAATCAGAGAAATGAATTCGAAATTCTCCAAGATAAATATGGTTACTTAAGATTTAATTGAGAAAAGTAGTATAGCAATTTACACCCCCTAACCAGACAATCCTGTTCCTGAAGAACAGTGATATTCCTAATGAAGATGCATGATTTGAATGTCTATTAAAAGTCACGTTCACCCCAGACCTCAAGTCGATCTCAAATATACTATCTATTGCTAAAGATAAAATAAAATTATCAGTTTCTTCCAGTGCTCCTGAAAATAACCTAACTGTCCCTGCTATGCTCTATTTTTATAACAGATTAGACTAAAAATCGCTGATCTATCTGGACTAGAGCTGCCTAGCCATGATTAAAGATCAAAAGCGTCTATGCGGCCCCTTGTAATTTTGAAGAGAAATAAATTCTACTTAATTTGCTGCAGCGGTACAATAACCATTGCGACAAGAAATAGTCATATTTTTTATATTTTCCTATCACTATCAATCCAGCTTACGAATAAAAAATAAATTTATTATTATTATTATTATTTTTAAATTTTATAAAAATTAATAGGTGGACCAATTTACTTTGTTGTAAATTCGTTGTAAATTTATACTCCTACGAAAGCCAAAAATAAATATGAACGTAGAAGGTGATTTCTTAAAATGTAAAAAAAAATTAACAAAAAATATTTGGAATTCGTTATTTGTAGTTCCTTTTTAATATATTATCGATTAAACACACCAGATTACAATTTTTTCTTACATTTTAAGAATTGATTTTTTTTACGGCTTATCAACTCATTGCAGGTTATTTAAAGCCGGATCATGTCTTTGAGATTGTAGGAATTTTTCGGGAATTAATAAGTAATTTTTGTTACAAGTTCTACTATTTAACCAACAGCCAGGGGCAGAAGAGGTTTCCAACCTTACCCAATGGTATTTGTGCGTAAGTAAATATAATGAACCTGATTAGAATTGGAACTCGGCTCTCCGATTTCACTTTCAAGATTTTCACATCCAACCTTACAGCATCTGCTATTCCCAGGCGGTCACCCATCCAGAAATTAACCAAGCTCAACGTTGCTTAACATCGGTGATCGTACGGGAACCGATGTTCCAACGTGATGTGACTGTAAGACATATTATTTCTTAAAATCACGTCGTACGAGCATATTTGTTTTATCTTCCGTAGGTGGGATTAATTTACAATGAATTTATATAACAAACTGGACACACGTATTAACATTTTAAAAAATATTCATGGAGTGTTTTAATCTATAAAGATATGAAAAATAATTATCATTATTCTAGTCGATTTGAATTTATCGGACTGGATCCTTTATTTATCAATCAACAGTCATAAGAGAAAGCTTTATGAAAGTTGAAAAGGCGTTGGAAAGCTGTCACTTACGATGAGGAATAAATATTTACTTGAGAAAAAAATTCTCGAAGTTGGGCAAATTGATTGCAACACCTCCCAATCTCCACAAAAATAAAGCATTCATATATTTCAAAAAGCAATTTCAGCCCCCGTCCATTGATATGAAAAGAAAAAATAAATAAATAAATAAAAAAAAGTAAAGAACTCGAATTAACCACCCGGTTATTGCCATGCACTGTGATGTAGGGTATGGGGTGGGGGGTAGGTACTTGATAAGACGACTCTTTCACGGAGGACAGCCGCACATACATTTATACATTTATGCTGAAGCACAAGGAAGCTCTTGTCGCCGGTAAAAACGCACGCATTAAATTTACAAAGATACATTTAATATATCACGTGATTAAATGGCACGATTTTCTTGCTGCGTAAGGACTTTATACACACACACACAGAGAAAGATAAGAATATATATATATATATATATATATATATATATATATATATATATATATATATATATATATATATATATATATGAGGTACCTCCAGCAGTTTTCTAAAAAGAGCGTGATGAAAAAAGGTCCCAAAACGTGATAAAAACAAAGTTTTATCGTCAAAATGTTTATGTTATTATTAAGACGAAAGATCAAAGGATTTTTTCTATTATTTTATTGAATTTTTAATCCTTTCTCGCACGTTCGAAATTTAGTTAAAAATCTTGTTTTCCTTGCGTCAGCAAGTGGGCCAAAGATTAGTATAAGGAATTTTAGCGGCTTTTTTGGCGTTAAAAACATTGTTTGAAAATTCTTGCAGAAATCAAGTAATCGTCCGGTCTTAATGAAATTTTCATGACTTATTTACAAATGAATGGAATTTTTTTCATATATTTTTTTTAGAAATTCTTGGTAAAAATATTTCTTTTTTTTACATCTGTTATACCGCTACTTAATTTTATGAATTTTCGAGAAATTAAAATTTCAGCCTCTTCATATTCATATTATTTAAAAGCAGGACTCCTTGAAGAAATAAAATCATCAATTTCTTTGTCAAACAGAAACATCATTTACCGAAAATCTTCTGTGAATAGTAAAATAAAAAATACAATAAAACTAAGACATTATTTAATTAGAAAATTTTTTAATTGTTTTATAAATAAGCTATATTACGGACCCTAAAATTTGAATTAGAAAAGTTTAATGAGTTTTAAATCTTTTAAAATTTTGTATTGATTTCAGTTGTTTAGATGATGCTATTATTAATTGAAAAATAGTTACTAATCATAAATGGAAAAGCTAAATAAAAATCATCTAACACCAATATTTTTAAAAGAATTTATAAACATACCAATTTTTGTAAGTACAGGCGACCATACACGACATTATCAGAAAATAAGTACGATAACAATAGTAAATTTAAAGTTAACATTCTAAAATACAATAAAACATTAGATTATAAAGAATATTTTTCTCGATTTTTAAGATTACTGAGTACTTAAAAATAATATTATAAAAAGCTCTCGCGTTATTTTCTTCAATTATGTTTTATAGATAAAGTCTCCATAGAACAACATTAGGTCAGTCATCACGCTGTCAGTCTGTCAATACCTTAAATAAACAGCTACTGTCGGGTTAAAAATGCATTTCTGCGATATTTTAAACTTAAAATAAATAATATTTGTTTCAAATTAGATTAATTCTACTTTAAATGAATTAATGTTCCTCAAATAAAGTTTTTAAAAAGTTAATTCTATTTTTGGAAGATTTTTTTTTTAATAAAGAGAATTACATTGCGATGAAAGACAACTCAAAAGTTCGCTAATCGATTATTTTATCAAAAAAAACTAAATAAAATAAATCTCCTTCAAGTCAATTTAAGTTTGTTTTTGAAATAGAACAAAGTATTTTGCTTATTGGAAATACTAAATTTAATCTACTAGGTTGAAACTAAACTAAAATAACAGCTTCAAGATGTTTCATTTATAAAAGTTAATTTTAAACCTTAAGTATCGTGTTTATTGTGGAGGCCCATAGGCACGTCAGATCCAATGACCATTCCCCATAGGGGATGCCGGTTCGAATCCTGCCGGAGGACGCATATTTTTCTGACAAGATTTCTCGAATATTCAAACCGGTAGATGTATTAATAAAAAATAGTTTAATTAAAAAACAGAACTTCTACTCGAATATGAGTATTGGTCAAAAATAACGTTTAAACAAAATAAATTAAATATAAAAATATGTCGGATTTAATCTATAACCTCAAATAAATTGTCTTTGTTCACGTTATGATACGAAAAAATATATAAACTTTAAATAAATAAATAAATGAAATAAATATAATATAAACTTGAAAAAATTAATTATCAATTACTAATTAAACGAACAAATATTAAATACACACACCTATACGTGTTTGCGTGCATGTACATATAAATACACACACATACACATACACACAAACAAACAAACAACTGCAAATGTACAAACCTAATACACAATAATTATTACCTCAATAGATTGAGGCAAAAAGGCAAATAAACTACTAAAAATTAAATAAAAATGTAAACATTAAATAAACGATAATATATGATATAAGCAAATATTTCATTTACTACATATACACTGTTTAAAAATAACATATATGTACGTACGTGTGTCATGTGTGATATTGCGTGCTTGTGTGTACGGGAGTATATACTCTAGATACATATTCAAACCGCAAAGGAAACACTCTATAAACCAAACCAACCATAATTAATGCCCTAAAATTAGAAAAAATAACTTTATTATTTTATTAATAAAAAGAACAGGCACAAGTGTACATGTGCGTGTGTACGTGCATTTGTATGTGTATATGTATATATATGTGTGTGTGTGTGTGTGTGCACGTAGTATATCCATATACATACATGTATGTATGTGTGCGTGTGTGTTTGTCTGCGCGCGCAAGCGTATAAATACAGCCATATGCATATAGATTCAAACAATAAAAAATAATTTAATTATAAACCTAGTCTTTTACAATGAATACTTTAAGTACTTAAGATACCACCAAATCAAATAAAAAAACGAAATAATTGCCAAGTGAAGACATAAGAATATTTACTTTGTCATTTAAACATTAATATCAATTATTTATGTAAAAAATGAAATATAATTTTCCTAACTTAAGAAAAGTATAGAACGCTCAAAAATTAAAAACAATAACATGTCTAGAGAAAAAAAAACGGAAATAAATAGCAACAAATAACTTTAATTGAAAGAAAAGAGGAAAAGAAAAAAAAGAAAGAGAAAATCCTATAGAGTGAGTGTAAAGAGGAGCAGAAAAGGACAAATAATCACGACACCCTACAGGTACGCACATCCTCGTTAACGGACGGACACACATCCGCATAGACGGGTGCATGGCCGTTCGCGCGCAAACGCTCACAAACAATACGGAAAAATTTGCACCAAGAGAGAGAGAGTGGGGGGGAGAAGAGTTTATTAGGGTGGCAATCTCTCTCTGATACATATCCCGTTGAAAATGACTGACAACATCTATAAAGTTTTTTTTTATTGTTTTTCTTCCGTGCATCCTGGGCGTTTTCGGCCAATCCATTAATCATTTTCAAGGTTTTGGGTTCTGTTTTGCATATGGCGTATATGGAGCTGCAGAGCCGGCGTATACATCTCCCCCACTGATCCCACTCTCGACCGGAGGGCGGGGAAAGCTTGATTGGGGACATTTTATGTCCAAATCCGTAAATTTGTTAAGTCTCGGAAAAACACTATATTATTATTATTCAACTTCTTAACAAGAAAAATCTCAAGTTGATTTTAAAAATTGCTGTTAAACATTCTTGATCTATTTAAGATAAAATGATCTGTTACAACATGTCTCTAATATGTATTTATTATTATTATTATTATTATTATTATTATTATTATTATTCCACTTGATTCCTTGGAGAACATAGAGTAGCAAAATCAACTCTCCAATTATGAAAATTGATATCGAGGGCGGGGGTGTCACGAGACCCTTGCAACAGCCCTGGCTAGCTGATATATAGATATCTTTTTAATTGCCGAATATGGCCGTGTTTGTTGTTGAAAAGCTTGTTTTTTTTAGGGGGGGTTGTTATGGCATTTATCATATTAACACAGCTATAATGTTAATCCCATTCATCTTTTGTCCTGTCCTTAATCCTCCCTATTCTCAATCTTCATGTTCGGGAATTAAAACTGATCTCCGTATCAGCAACCTATTTATCATTTGCAATAGAATAACCAAGATTCCTAATAGATTAGACTAAAATGCTCGGAACGAGCAATCATTCAGACAATTTCCATATACACTAAGTCTCGGGTCAACTGTTATCTATACTACATATCCTCCTCATATACACATCTTAATCCCTCTTTATACGATAATCTCATTCATTAACCCTTTAGCTTTAGTGGTTTTTGAGCCCTATATTGGGGGAACAACAGTATATAATTTTTTTTTTTAATATAGTATCATATAAACATACCTTTATCAACCACTCATGGAAACAGTTGTAAACTTTGTTGTGGGAGTCACCGCTTTTGCTGTGAGGTATGTAAGTTTTGCCGTAAAAATTTAATGGCTTCTGGAACATTTGTCAAGCAACAATATCTGGCAGACTTGTGAGTTCGGGTAAAAATAAATCCCACAAAGCTAGGATTTTAAAACAAACGATAATTAATGCGTATATTAACCAAAAGAAATTACACTAATGTGTACACAGT